ACAGATCATAAATATTATTGAGAATATGCAGGGGAAAATGTTGGGGCACTTGATATGACACGACGAACTTATTAATAGTATTATCGAAGGAAAAATAGATAGAAAGAGAGGAAGGGGAAGACCAAGACACTATATCAAGCAAGTTAAAGAAGAAGTTAGAGTTGTGTCGTATCAACAACTAAAAAGATTCATGGAAGATCGAAAATGACAAGAGATCTTGTCGGAGACAAGAGCTCTTAAATTATAAATGAATGAACAGATATAAAATGCAGTTGAATTGAGAATTACATACTTTTTTGCGTCGTTTGAAAGCATAGGACAAAACAATTGCTTGCTTATTTAATGTCAAGAATGTTATTTTATATATCCGCTTCTTTTTTTTTTTTATTTAATATTTTACGGCTCTTGATACAAGTCCTTTCTAGCCCAAAAAAAAATACAAAACCTTAAAAAAAATTATGATTTCTTCCCAGTGTTGGAAATAAATTTATATAAAGTCTTGAATAGTGCAGGCCTTGATAAGATCTCTTCTAGAGACTTCGGTACTTCATTAATGTGCTCTTGAATCTCGTGAATGAGTAATAATCTGTCGAGTCCGTATTTTCTACATTTGAATATAATATGATTCAAATCTTCATCTTCATTGCAGTGACATGACAATGTTACCCAAATAAGATTATACAACTGCCAACATTCTTTGTGTTAGTTATTCACAAACGATGCACAAACAAACATAAAGAGTCGCTACATTACCCTCGAATGTGGTAAATGGCAGTACTAACTACAACTTGAATGGGCAGTATATATAAATATACTGTTACCCCATAACTAGTCGATATAGCAGTTAGAGGTTGCCACATGAATATAAACTGTATTTGTATGATAATTTGATTCAAAGTTAGATTTTAGGAGCAAATTTAGACTATGCAGTAGTATGACTACCAAGCATAATGTATCTTAACAAATATATAAAACTGAGTTGTAATTTCCATTGGTCTCAATTTGTGAAGGGATTATTAATTTAGTTACACGTATTAAAGTTAAAACATAAATAATTTTATAGTAAACTAAAGTAAATAAATAGTAATAAATCAACCTTGACCAAATAAAAAAAAATTAATGACTAACTCGAAAAGAGCAAAAAAAATAGTTTCATCATTCTAGCTTCAAAATATACGACTTTTCATACAAAACTTTCATCGCCTATTTTATTTTACTCCCATAAGAGTAATTTCTTTACAAACTGAATATCATATTTATTTATATTTAATCAACAGCCTAAAAAATAAGTCTCCAGCTGTGAAAGTAAGGATCCAATTTTTTTTTTAAATATAGCTAAACAAATCCGTGTAATCACTATTATACACACTATGTCCTTTCTTAGACTGCAGACTGTGTGGCATGTGGGTACCAAATTTTATACAAATCGATTCAGTACTTTTGGGGTGACAGCGAGACAGCCAGTTACTTTTGTAATTATAATATTAGTAAGAATAAAGGTATTTACCTCAAATATTGTTAAATAAATGCTACTTCATAATAGGCGCGGGTAGATGGATTTCAAGCCATAATGCTTTATGTTTCAATTTTTTATTTTTTTTACAATTTTGGGACCATTACCTCCTCACATTTGTTTGCTATATAACTTTTAAACTTCCTTAAATTTACCATTATCATCGAGAATATATATATTGTTTATGCTTTAAGAAAATGACCCTAAAAAAATAGATCGGCATAAAATATATCTAAGAATTCTTTATAATAAGAAAAATAAACCTAAAGGAAACAGAGTGAGTGTGACTAAAACATGTCTGCGGATTCCTACGCCGAACTTCTGGGAATTAAAGTTATATTATAAGAAAAAAATGAGATGAATAAATTATTATTTTCCAAGTTTTCTTCTACATGACTCGCTCAATTTATTTATGTTAAATACAATTTCAGGTAGAGTTCAGATTAATTAATGTAATATTGCCGCCTTACATCCGATGGTCGCAGGTTCGATTTCTCGCACGGCACAAACATTTTGTATTCATGAGTATAATTGTTTGTATCGGTCTGCGTGTTTTCTACGTATAATATGTATGTATTTACAAAAAATGTATTAGTTATCTAGTACTTATAACACAAGCTTTAGCTAGCTTAACTTGGGTCTAGATGGCGCTGTGTGAATTGTCCTGAGATTACTATTATATTATTATTTCAGTAAAGGTTTTATTAATAAAATTGTTGATGGCAAATTAAAAATATTTCCAGAATTTATTATTACCTGCTTTTTATACTTCTATTCCCTCGTTAGCATATAATGGAACTTAGTGAAGATTTCTAGTTATATTGAGGTAAAAGTTATTGTTATTTGATGAATTATTATTATTATTATCTTAAGATTTAATCTGAAGATCTTACACTTGATATTCTGCGGTATCTTCCACACGCTACACCGTAGTTTTGAGCGGCGCTGTCACGCGCAAAGTGCAGTCCTGTATCTTGAAATGTTATCTCATTAATTTCATAAATTTTAACGCTTATGATGTTCTTAGAGTTGAGAGATTTGTATTCATGTACTGTGTTAATGTATACTCGCTAACGGTTTAAATATTTACGGAGTTCATTACCCTCGTAGTTGAGAAACGAGTGCTTGAATGTATGAAAATTAGGAGTGTAATTCTCTTTTTACTTAAATAAGAACTGCGGTGAATAAAATATTTATTTTTGTAGTAAAAACTCTTTCGTATTAATCTATTTGGAATGCCACTTGTTGTTGTTTGTCTTCTTAGTTCTTCTCAGCTTGAATGAACTTGGAAATGATGATAGATTTGACATGTCATAAGAGTCTGTAGTAGATCTATATGAATAAAGATTTGATTTGTTTTTAATTCATCCAATTCGAACCGGCGCGGAATTGCGTCCCAATTCGATCAAAACTCATACTGACTGTATTATGACTGTAATATGTATTTATATATATTAATAAAATTACTTCCGTCGAAGAGTATTTTAGTATATATATTCTATTTTTTTTTTTTGTGGATGATAATGGAATGGTACACCCGCCTGCGCTAACGGTTTACGCTGGCGGGGCACTAGTGGAGGATGATAAGATGAGCATGAGGTCAGGTCAGTTAGCCCATCATGACAAATTCGCCAGGAATTTATCACGATGGTTTCCAAGGGGAACCGCGTGGAGGTCGACCTGATATGATATATTGCTAGCAATGGGGTTATCAATCCACATTACTAACAATCCCCTTCCCCCCTATATTCTATATTTAATCAATGTATTTCTTCCGTAAAATGCTTATCAACTTGTTACAATGTTGTGTATTTTATAGACTTTTCTAAGACGTTGGGTTAGATAAAGAATGCGCTTTTACGCTGAACGAAATCGGCTACACAACTACTTCAATAAATGCGCGCATACCCTACTTGTATATCCATAGAATGCGCGCGTAGCCTTGTATATCCGTAGAATGCGCGCGTAGCCTTGTATATCCGTAGAATGCGCGCGTAGCCTTGTATATCCGTAAAATGCGCGCGTAGCCTTGTATATCCGTAGAATGCGCGCGTAGCCTTGTATATCCGTAGAATGCCCGCGTAGCCTTGTATATCCGTAGAATGCGCGCGTAGCCTTGTATATCCGTAGAATGCGCGCGTAGCTTTGTATTTCCGTAGAATACGCGCGTAGCTTTGTATTTCCGTAAAAAGTGTCCGTAGTCCGTGCGTGATTAAATATAATTGTTAATTAAATTATTGTAAACACTTATGCCATTGAAGTTTTGCTTATAAAACATAAAATGGGACATAGACAAAAGTTTCAAACAGCCATCAACAAAGTTCTCGATTCACTAGCATGTTAGTTATTCAATAGCGAAATCCCAGATTGCGAACACATGCTGTTCGGACCATGTTTGTGTGATATATTCAAATCTATTGTTTTCAAATTCTGCATACAGTTTAGTCATTTCACGTTATCTGGTATGAAATGACACGTTTTGAAGTTCCATACGGGTCAGTTGGACAGTGTCGTGGAATATGTTTGAACAATTTCAGAAAAAAGATTTAATACTGTTTTAAACTTGATGTCATTATTTATACATACAATTAGGAAAAACCACGGTTCCCTACAACGATTTATTCATTTTAATTAACTTCCTGATATATAGGCAGTATTTCAACCACCATGGTCACAGGTAAAATGAAGAGCAGCGGGTAAAAGCAGATAAAATATTTTATGGGCAGAGACATATTCGTCTACCTTCATACGCCCTCGTTAATTGCTACTATTGAAACTTGATCTCAGCAAACTATATTCACAGTATCTTCTTTATCAGGTTTTAAATTATATACATCAGGTACGTCTGTAATTTACATATATAAATCTTTGCTGATGGGTCATCTATTCTGTCCAATAATAATGTTATTAATTTTAGTTTATAAAATTAGGTGTTAGTTGTATATTGCGGAAGTCCATTTAATTACTGCACTTGTATTATTTTGTTCCTTTCCGTTTGTATTAGCATATGTGAGACCACAAATATTATGCGGAAACCTGACCACCGCCACTGGAAGCGTTACGAGTTACGACCTACTCCACTAGTGACCAAATTCCGACCGTTCCTGGATCTACACCCATATTTTGACACGTGTTGAGCGTCTAAACGAGGCATCATCAGGCGATGAATAGAGTGTGCACTGTGCATATAGTTTAAATGCCTACTGTTGTCTGTTCATCGTAGTGTGGTAGCCGAATAATTTTGCAATTTAATAAAGTAAATCAAATTATATCTTAATTAGAGTTGATTATTTTTTTATAATAAAGTATTTTTGTAATAAAGTAAAAGTAATTCCAGTCTACTTAATAAGAATCAAAATTTCAGACATCACCTAAATTACGTTCAGTTCATTAGAAAATAAATTAGAAGTTAATTTGAAATAAAAATCTATAAATCGATGTTCTTAATGAAAATACAGCTATTAAAAAATAATTTCTTTTGTTCCAGATCCTTACATCGCGTCGAAAATACAGTGTAATGAGACGATATTGTTGTCTCACTCGCACCCGCACGCTATTATCTCGAGCCCCGGCTTCCCGCGGCCGTACCCTGATGATGTGGACTGCGTGACCGAGCTGAGAGCGCCTACAGCACACACCCTTCGACTGCACTTTGAAGAGTTGCTGACAGAACATGAGGCGCAGTGAGTTCATCATAATTATCATGATCACTATGATCATCATCATCATCACGCACATGTATCACCCCTGATGTTTCAGATGTCTATAGGCAACAATATCCGTTTACAATCAGATGAGCCAACTGCTTGCCATCATCGTGGTATAAAAAAAGTTACAGATGTATTATATCTTATTTATACATATAGGCACTTTCCATCAGATGGACTATAAGTCCATTAATCTGTTTGTTATTTCAATTACTCACTTGATTACATGACAAACGTGCATATCAATAGATGTTCAGTACCTCAAACTATGTACCTTGAGGTTTTTTAGCGAGAAAGAATACCACCCTCCCCCTAGTCTCCTCTCTGGCCAGGTGACGGTTTTTTTAACTTTAATGATGATGCGTGTACCCATACGCTTCCACCGTTGAGTAACAAACAAGTAGTGGCCTGCACTACACTATCTACAGGCCGGACCAACACCACCGTAAAATGCAACGCGACCCCGTCACTCCGGCATCGACGGCTCATAGATGCACGTATTTTTTTAATGAGCAAAAATCTCATACACCCTCAAAGCCATCCCTCCGGGGAGCTGTTTTTGTGAAGATTTTTTCAATATTAAAGTAGGTAATGATAATGCTCAAAGTAACGAAGCGTATGCTCACTTAAATCATTACATAATATAAAATAAAGTCGCTGTCGCTATCTTTCCGTCCCTATGTATGCTTAAATCTTTAAAACTACGCACCGGATTTTGAAGCGGTTTTTTAAATAGATAGAGTGACTCTAGGGAAAGGTTTATAATATATAATATATATATACATGTACACCCATGCGAAGAGTAGCTAGTAAATAAATAATTGACGGCCTCGGCCTCTAGCTGTTTAGCACACTGCTTTTAGGTGGATATGATTATATATATTAGGATTCGAACCTTGACCATGGGTTCTAATCCTCGCACGATGCAAATATTTGCATTCATGACTATGATTGTTTGTACTAGTCTGGCCGTTTTATGTATGTATTTAAATAAAAATGAAAGTAAGTATTCTATAATTTGTTTACCCTTACTAACACAAGCTCTGCTTAGTTAGGGATTAGATGATGTGTGAATAGTCCTGGGTTATTAATTTAGCTGCTGAATCAACCCTAAAAGTTACGCCTCGCATTAACCAGATTTATGCAGTTATCTACTGTTGGAACTCATTGTGTACTTGAGCTATTGTTTATCCTTTTAACTCCGAAGTTGGTTTGTTAACAAACTAACTGTTACTATTGATTTAAACCGCGTCGAGTTAAAGTTACCCGGGCTGTTTTCCACTTCTCGTAATCCGTTAAGGCTTACAGTAACCTGTTGAAGACTTAACTCTTTCGGAGGAACACGCCTCCTCCGCGATGTTAAAAGTAATGTAACATGAAACCTCTTCTTGTATAAAAGCCCTAAAATAATTGTAATTTAGTAGAAGTTTTTATTTATTTTTAATAAATAAAAACTTCTTTTCAAGAAACCGGAAAAAATCCCGCGCGACATCCAAGACATGTTAACTAAATTTGAAACATCCAAGACTTTGGATAAGACTTAAATTTTGAACACGAATGAAAACATAATGAATAAACATACATAAGAATTGGCCTTTGGCCTCATCACTTGTTCAAATCTGTAGAAGTTTAACGTAGACTAGGCTGTACGGTCTAAGGATTTTTGCCTGTTCCATCACTGAAAATGAGATGGACGAATATGGAAAAAAAAACTTCTTTTCTTTCAATCAACACGGTCTATCGTTTATTATAAATTTTATTGATTTTTTTATTGAATTTTAACAATAACAGTAATCTGAGTTTTGTTCGTGGTTTCTTATTGATAATTCTTGCTATAGTCTAATATATTGTGGTCAAATAAGATTAGACCGTGTCTGAAATTGTAGAAGAGTCTTCGAATCTGGTGTATAAGGACAATTAATAATAATAATTGTTAATGATAGAGCTAAATACCACATTGCTAACAATGGACCATGGCAAGTGGACCTCCGTGCAGTACCGTTATTTTTTTGTTTTTTTTTTTAAATTAAATATAATTTTCCACAGACATTTTCGTCCGTGCCTTTTTTAATTTACTTTAATATTATTATATTTCTTTAATTTCCACTTTTGTACAACTCCAGAGGAGTCTCCAGCCGAGATGTTACAATTTGTCTAACAGTGGCACCTAGGCAGACCTTATCCGTCTGGCCCAGAACCACCTCTGGCCGGCCGGGTGAGTTGACAACATGCAGTGTCACCTATCTTTATTAGGATTTTTTTTCCTTTTTCTTTAAAAGTATTAGACTGTGGTCCTAGGCTCCTATATATATATTTGTTTATAGTATTGTTTTTTTTCTTTTTTTTTTTCTTCCTAGGAGTCAGTCACATTTACCAATATGTATATACAATAATATCAATCTTACACTACTACTAATTTCACAGTTTACATTACATTGTGTTGTATTGTTACAGTGCCGTAACGTTAGCGCAGAAGCGTGTACCACTCCATTATAACCTCTTTAAAATGTCTATCATGTATTCATGATATTATAATCAACTTTTTTATTACTAACTAGCTGATCCCGCGACTTCGTCCGCGTGGAATTAAATTACATTTTTCTAAAATAAAGGTAGCCTAAGTTACTCGTTATTACATCAGCTTCCTGCCAAAGAAAGTCCCGTCAAAATCAATCCAGCCATTTCAGAGATTTGCCGGAACAATCCGACAGACAGACAAAAATTGTAAAAAATGTTATTTTGGTGTATGTACAGTATTTATATTATATGCATGTAGTAAAAAACGGTTATTTCATTACAAACAGACACTCCAATTTTATTTATATGTATAGATATTGTCATCGTCACATATTGTGTACATAAATCCGAAGAAAATAAATAAAGAAAAAACTTTTTATTATCATCAGCTGAATTAGGCAAGAAGAAGAAAACCACACTCCAATTTTATTTATATGTATAGATATCATATACAATTATTTGAGTCAAATAAGTACAATCTTTCCTTTTACACAACAAATTTTGATAATGAATTTCTGTTTGCATTATTGTTGACTAGGAAAAAAATGCATCAAGGTGGTCGCACGAGCATTGTGTACTTGGGCGTTAAAGTTTCAATAAACAAATACCATTGCTAACAGGAGATTCCACAATGTAGTTGTGGAAAGAAGTTTCTGGAAAAACCCACGATGGAATACCGCTATTCATCTAGATGATTAGTATAGTATTTGATATGAAAATATTCTTGTACGTCTATGTTATATGTTATATGTTATATATCTAGCTCACTATGAGATAGTATTATCTATCAGAAAGCGGAAGAATGGGGAAAGCGGAAGGGGAAGAGAGCTAAGGGGGGACGTTGGAACTAATTTCCTAGCCGCAATGTTATTTGGTGCGAACAGTTTATGATCTACTCAAGATAATATAACGAAGTTTATTTTCAAAGTTTCCTTGATACGTAGCTGGTACAAGCGCTACCAACATCCGACACGTGTCAACTGAGAGATTGTCGGCTCTAAATTAATTTTAAAATGTTGGTAGTTAGGTTGATGAGTGATATATCCGCGGTAAGTAGAAATCTACTTCCAATTGTGGTATAAATAGTAAACTCTGATCTGTGGTAGAAGCTGCACGAAAGTGAACTGTATTTATTTGACCATATAAGTCGTAAAATTACTTATACTAAGTCCGGCTAGTGGTCGAAATTCGACCATAATTAAATTACAAGTTTGAACAGTCACATATAATAATAATAATAATAATCTCAGGACAATTCACACAGCACCATCTAGACCCAAGTTAAGCTAGGTACAAATTTTCCACACGTTAACCTAGCGACCATAGAAGTCAATTTGCCACGAAGATTTCCAGAGGGGACCATGTGAAGATCAACCTCAATTAGGGACTCATCAATACAATGTTTATACCGTGCGAGAAATCAAACTTGCGACCATCAGAAGTCAAGTTGCCACGAATATTTCCAGAGGGGACCATGTGAAGATCAACCTCACTTAGGGACTCATGAATACAATGTTTATACTGTGCGAGGAATCGATCTTGCGACTATCGGAAGTCAATTTGCCACGAAGATTTCCAAAGGGGACTATGTGAAGATCAAGCTCAATTAGGGACTCATCAATACAATATTTATACCGTGCGAGAAATCGATCTTGCGACTATCGGAAGTCAATTTGCCACGAAGATTTCCAGAGGGGGCCATGTGAAGTTCAACCTTATTAAGGGTTCGTTGCTAGCAGGGGGTGGGTCATTAGTCCCGTTACTAACATGCCCCTTCACAATTACCTTGAGAATCTCTAGCTTCTGAAATAGAATAAAAAGCTTGCCGAATCCAATAGCGAAGCTGAACAAAAGCCAGTAATACTAGTAGTCACAAAGAAGCTAACAGAAAGGAGCTTTTCTTCTGCGAATCCGTTTCCGGTATAGCTACAAAAGTGGAAACAAATCACTTGAAAACGTTACAGGAGAGAGGTTCGTAGCAAACGTGCGACTATGTCGATAAATACAATCGGTATAAAGTAGTACAGAGCCTACCTACCTACGAATAATGTTAGAAAAAGCCAATCTATACTTATAAATAAAATTGGAGTGTCTGATTGTATTATTGAAATAACCGTTTTTTTACTACATGCATATGAATATAAATACTGTACATACACCAAAATAACATAAATACTAAAATAACATTTTTTACCATTTTTGTCTGTCTGCTTGTTTGTTCCGGCTAATCTCTGAAACGGCTGGACCGATTTTGACGGAACTTTTCTTGGTAGTTAGCTGATGTAATAAGGAGTAACTTAGGCTACTGTTATTTTTGAAATTTTCTTTTATTTAAGAAAAATATAGTTAAATTCCACGCGGATGAAGTCGCAAGTACAGCTAGTGTCTATATAATACTACCAGCATACGTATGGAACATAAAGGTGTAATTAGCGAAAACAAGTGGTCGCTCGGTAGTT